AGATGTATTTCTTGCTTATCTCAATAAACATACTTGAACTTGAACTTGGTTCCTGCTTAATGAAGAACTTAACACTCATATGTTCATCCACTTCACAATACATTATCTATTGGCAGTTGAGGACTGAGAAGCAAAAATTTGCGAGGAAAACAAATAGAAGAAAAAGATGTGAGATAAGGCAAAGTAATTATGGGGTGAAAGCGCTAGGCCAGAATGCCTATATAACACTTGCAAGGGACAGTAGGATGAGCTGGGATGTGAGGACGGAGTGAAGGAACGCTGCCCAACCACTTCGACCTTCGGGGATCGAGCATAAGCATATTTTATACACATCAAAGATCTGAATATATTTAATCGAAGGAAACTGAATACTGTTGTTCTCATGAATTCTTTACAGTATATCAAGGTGTTATTTAACTTAGTATTTAATAAATGAATAATTTTTGGAACAGGTTGTTTAAAGGCATAGATGTGCTCACCTAGATGTGGTCACCTAGATGTACTCACCTAGATGTGCTCACCTAGATGTGCTCACCTAGATGTGCTCACCTAGATGTGCATACTTTGATGTGCTCACCTAGATGTGCTCACCTAGATGTGGTCACCTAGATGTGCTTACCTTGATGTGCTCACCTAGATGTGGTCACCTAGATGTGCTCACCTAGATGTGCTCACCTAGATGTGCTTACCTTGATGTGCTCACCTAGATGTGCTCACCTAGATGTGGTCACCTAGATGTACTCACCTAGATGTGCTCACCTAGATGTGCTCACCTAGATGTGCTCACCTAGATGTGCTCACCTAGATGTGCTCACCTAGATGTGCTCACCTAGATGTGGTCACCTAGATGTGCTCACCTAGATGTGCTCACCTAGATGTGCTCACCTAGATGTGCTCACCTAGATGTGCTCACCTAGATGTGCTCACCTAGATGTGCTCACCTAGATGTGCTCACCTAGATGTGCTCACCTAGATGTGCTCACCTAGATGTGCTCACCTAGATGTGCTCACCTAGATGTGCTCACCTAGATGTGCTCACCTAGATGTGCTCACCTAGATGTGCTCACCTAGATGTGCTCACCTAGATGTGCTCACCTAGATGTGCTCACCTAGATGTGCTCACCTAGATGTGCTCACCTAGATGTGCTCACCTAGATGTGCTCACCTAGATGTGCTCACCTAGATGTGCTCACCTAGATGTGCTCACCTAGATGTGCTCACCTAGATGTGCTTACCTAGATGTGCTCACCTAGATGTGCTCACCTAGATGTGCTCACCTAGATGTGCTCACCTAGATGTGCTCACCTAGATGTGCTCACCTAGATGTGCTCACCTAGATGTGCTCACCTAGATGTGCTCACCTAGATGTGCTCACCTAGATGTGCTCACCTAGATGTGCTCACCTAGATGTGCTCACCTAGATGTGCTCACCTAGATGTGCTCACCTAGATGTGCTTACCTAGATGTGCTCACCTAGATGTGCTCACCTAGATGTGCTCACCTAGATGTGCTCACCTAGATGTGCTCACCTAGATGTGCTCACCTAGATGTGCTTACCTAGATGTGCTCACCTAGATGTGCTCACCTAGATGTGCTCACCTAGATGTGCTCACCTAGATGTGCTCACCTAGATGTGCTCACCTAGATGTGCTCACCTAGATGTGCTCACCTAGATGTGCTCACCTAGATGTGCTCACCTAGATGTGCTCACCTAGATGTGCTCACCTAGATGTGCTCACCTAGATGTGCTCACCTAGATGTGCTCACCTAGATGTGCTTACCTAGATGTGCTCACCTAGATGTGCTCACCTAGATGTGCTCACCTAGATGTGCTCACCTAGATGTGCTCACCTAGATGTGCTCACCTAGATGTGCTCACCTAGATGTGCTCACCTAGATGTGCTCACCTAGATGTGCTCACCTAGATGTGCTCACCTAGATGTGCTCACCTAGATGTACTCACCTAGGTGTGCTCACCTAGATGTGCTCACCTAGATGTGCTCACCTAGATGTACTCACCTAGATGTGCTCACCTAGATGTGCTCACCTAGGTGTGCTCACCTTGATGTGCCCACCTAGATGTGCTTACCTAGATGTATTCACCTAGATGTGCTCACCTAGATGTACTCACCTAGATGTGCTCACTTAGATGTACTCACCTAGTTGTGCTCACCTAGATGTACTCACCTAGATGTGCTCACCTAGATGTGCTCACCTAGATGTGCTCACTTAGATGTTCTCACCTAGTTGTGCTCACCTAGATGTACTCACCTAGATGTGCTCACCTAGATGTACTCACCTAGGTGTGCTCACCTAGATGTACTCACCTAGATGTGCTCACCTAGATGTACTCACCTAGGTGTGCTCACCTAGATGTACTCACCTAGATGTACTCACCTAGGTGTGCTCACCTAGATGTACTCACCTAGATGTGCTCACCTAGATGTGCTCACCTAGATGTGCTCACCTAGATGTACTCACCTAGGTGTGCTCACCTAGATGTACTCACCTAGATGTGCTCACCTAGATGTGCTCACCTAGATGTGCTCACCTAGATGTACTCACCTAGGTGTGCTCACCTAGATGTACTCACCTAGATGTGCTCACCTAGATGTACTCACCTAGGTGCGCTCACCTAGATGTACTCACCTAGATGTACTCACCTAGGTGTGCTCACCTAGATGTACTCACCTAGATGTGCTCACCTAGATGTGCTCACCTAGATGTACTCACCTAGATGTGCTTACCTAGATGTACTCACCTAGATGTGCTCACCTAGATGTACTCACCTAGGTGTGCTCACCTAGATGTACTCACCTAGATGTGCTCACCAAGATGTACTCACCTATACCTAGATGTACTCACCCTAGTTATCAAAACAATTAATAATAGCGTATTTAGCGTATATGTGTTGATACACCTATACGCCAAATCCAACACCTTATAGTGTGTTGAAACTCATAAGATTGAAATACTTGCCTTAAACTTATAACAAAAAGAACCTTCAATTTATTTTTCTATATTGAAAGCTTCAATCAATATTATCCTAATGATAGATAAATAGTGTTTCTGCTAACTTAGGAAATTTGTAATAATATCTACTGTAATTATTAATATTATAATAATAGTTCAGGCATTAAGGGAATATTTATGGCAAAGACATGTATATTCCTTATATGTACAGAGGAAGTATATGTATATTCCAAGCAGTATCTTACGGGATTCATTATATTATTGATTATATTTCTATACTGATGCTCGAGAAGAAGCAATCTAGAATGAGAACCTGGCGACGAACGAAAATCTACTTGTACACAAACAAAAAATATTTAGACATAACACGAATACATTCACACATGTTGTGAGCTTCGCAACAGCAACGAAATAGCATTTTGTGAGCGTTGCAATACAGGAATGAGTTGTTATTGTTGCAACACAGAGACAATGTGTTGTGAGTGTTGCAACTGATGACTAACATACTTGATGTGAACGTTACAACAGAAAAATAATATAATGTTAGAGTTGCATCACGTTATTTCTGTGTTGCAATGATGCATTAATCACCTCATAATATCTCTATGTTGCAATGTTGAAACACTCACCACACAATATCCCTTTGTAGTATCACTGAAACCACATTATTTCTTTGTTGCAACACTCGCAACACGTTGTACCTGTCTGTTGCACGCAATATTCACAACAATTTATTCATATACGCTGCAACATTCACAACACGTTATTCCTGTATTACAACGTTGCAACACTCACAACATATTATAACTGTGTTGCAGCGTTCATTACACTTTGTTTCTACGTTGAATTATTCACAAAACGTTTGTTCTGTTGTGCAACACTCACAACATGTAACTCCTGAGTTGCAACACGCAAAACGGGTTATTTGGGCGATGCAACTCTCACAACATGATAATCCAGTGTTGCAATGATGTAACCACAACACTAACAATTTATAATTTATGCATGCAACACTTACAGAACATCATTTCTGTGTTGCACTACTCACAAAATGGCATTCATGTGTTGTAACACTCACAACACGTTATTCCTGTGTTGCATCGCTTCATCGCATGTTAGTGGTGTGTTTCAACACTCATAAGACATTACCAATGTGATGCAACACTCAACTCGTTCTCCCATCAAGCGTTAAACGTTGAATTCTTGCACGATATAAATTGTTCATTGCTAATATGTAAATTAAAAATGAGAAGAGATTAAACAGATAGATAAAAGGTGATGGCAAAATTACTACATTATAAATAGATAAATAGAAAACAATTAAATAAACAAATAAAACGGAAAGAATAAATATATTATATGCAATTTAATAATTTTAAAAATTATTAAGTGAATAAATACAGATGATTAAGTATATAAGAAATGTGAATGGATTAATAAATACATGATGATCAAAGAACTAATTTAAATGTGATAAATAGATATGTAAAAAGTACTGGAATAGATATATGAAAAGCGAGGATGGTGACCAGACACTTGGTGGGACCAGCCTCGCCCAGCTTTCCAAGATGAGTCATGTTGGGTAGGGGAGCGTCATAGCCTAGTCGGTGTCCGCCGAATTGTAATACTTTAAGAAATATCGGCATTTATATTAATAGCCTAAGACAACCGTGCAGTAATAACATCTATGTAGGAGAAATCCACAAGGTCCGTGACGAGGGTTCGAACCTGCGTCCGAGAGGATCCTAGAAAATGAAGTAAGGGCGAAGAGGTAGAACGGCTTATTGACAGCTCGGGTGCATGGGGGGAATTGTGTACAATCCTGGCTTGTGTCTCGGAGAGGCTGCAGGATCCAAGTAAGGTCAGTAGAACTTGTGGTTGCAATTCTTTTACCATGTCGTAGCTCAGTTGATTAAGGCAGCGTCTGGGATCCTCTCGGACGTAGGTTTGAACCCTCGTCACGGCCCTTGTGGATTTGTTCATTTGATGCATCACGCTATTGTGATTTCTGTGTGTAATCTATGTAGGATCTTATGATATATTAATAGCAGTGCCTATAAGCAACACATCCATCCTCCATCGTACATATATTGATGTAATGGACAATTGGATAGTAGAAATTGGTTTTAGTGAATTTGGATAAACCGGCAAAGTTTTGTCAAATCAAATGTTTATTTATGTAAAGTACATACATACAAGGTGAGATACAAACATGTTGTTGGATTTATAGATAGAGCTTGTACATACAATGTCTAAAGCCACTGTTACGCCAAGCGTTTTGGGCAAGATTGGCCCGAACCTTTGTATTTGTTTCTCATAAAACTTAACGTAACTTACCATCCAAGGTCTAATACATGCTAACTGAGACCAAATATAGTACATATATATGTTATACTAGGCCTAGGAATATATATGTTTGGTTTTAGCTGTATTTTTTCCTGACTATAAGGTGAATAGTACCAAGTTCTACTATGTAATTGTCTATTACGTCAATATATAATTTATATGTACGATGCTCAACATAGTTACAAAATGTACAGGAGGATGGATTGCATTCACTAAAGATAAAAACATTTCTTTTGGTTTATTATGGTAGGAAAAAATTAGACTGTAGCAGAGCGTAGTTTCGATTTACGGACCTCTAGTGGGATTATGGGTCCAGCACGCTTCCACTGCGCCACTCTGCTCCACAATACATAGTTATATGACTCTTTTTTTTCTCTTGTAATGTATCTTTCATTTATCAATTCTGATTGAAATTACCTACTTAAAATTATCTGCTAGATTAAGGACCTGCCCGAAACGCTGCGCGTACTAGTGGCTTTACAAGAGTGTAAATACTGTACTATCCAATGTATTCTCACAAACCCAATGTACCTTCTTGTATATATATAAATAAATAAATAAATAAATGACTCTCAATATTAATAATTACTATAATGTAGTATTAACATATTACAAAATGGCATAAGTTTTATGATTTAATAAATATTGTCAATATACTTTGTTATTAATTTTAGCTCTTTGAGTTTATTCCAATGGGGTATGAAAACAAACATTTAAAAAGTCAAATGTTTCCGCCCGGGATCGAACCGGGGACCTTGCGCGTGTGAGGCGCACGTGATAACCACTACACTACGGAAACCTGAAGTATAGTGACCTGTTATTATATGGACCAAATCCGGTTAATTGCTACCGAAGATGCACATAGTTTTTCACATATTTACATATGCACATATTATCTTGCTTCAGCGATATAATATGATCAAAACACATTGCTTGAGTAATTATATAAATTATAAAAGGTTTAATAACGAAAATAGAGAGAAAATCCTGTTTTATGTGTGTACGGGGTGTGTGACGTCACGATAACATGAGAGGTTTAGTTTAGTTTAGTTCACTTATTATGCACCCCATACCCATCTTGTGGGAGGTAGTGGAAGGGGGTTATAGAGGCACATAATGGGCTCAGGGACTGAACCCCACAATTCACTTAGCTAAGCAAGTTTCAATCTTGATAAGTTAATTACAAAATTCAGTATAAGTCGTCACGTCATAAACGGGTTCGTGATTGACTACAAGTACAGTTTCTAAATTAAGCAACTGACATGTGGAGAGCTAGTGTCACAATTTCCTGCCCGAAACGCTTTGCGTAATAGTGGCTTTAGGCATTGTATGTACTAGCTCCATCTATAAATCGATCAAATTATGTAAAATTTCTTGAATGTATGTACCTTACCTGAATAAACATTTTATTATTTTATTTAATTGATATGTTTGTCCTGCACAACGCCCTCCCCCCCACCAGTGGGCAGCGGTGGATAGCTTACAATCACTTAGGTACTACCTACAGTTAGCAAACTGGGGATATTTGTCCAAAATTTCTGGTAGCAGATCATTTTGAATTAAATATTTACACATCTCTGGAACATTTGTTATAGGAAGCAGGAGAAAGTGATTTTAGGGCTTCAGAGAGTGGGAGGAAGCAGTGGGAAGTATTTTTAAGGCTTCAGAGTGCGGGAGCAGGTGTTTTTAAGGCTTCAGAGAACAAGAGCGAGCGGGAAAAAGCAGGAGAAAGTGATTTTAGGGCTTCAGAAAGGGGGAGGAAGCAGGAGGAAGTGTTTTTAAGGCTACAGAGAGCGGGATGAAACAGGAGGAAGTATTTTTATGGATTTGGAGAGCGCGGAAGATATTGTTGTTAGGGCTTCAGAGAGCGAGATCGAACGGGAGGAAGCAGGAGGAAATGATTTTAGGGCTTTCGTTGGCGAGAGCGAGCGGTAAGAAGCAGGAGGAAATATTTGTAAGGTTTTAGAGAGCGTAGCCTCCGTAACACAGAGGTTAGCGTACAAATGTTTCTCGCTCTAGGGCTCTCCACATGTCAGTTGCTTAATTTAGAACCTGTACTTGAGGGCGGTCTCGAGCCCATTGTTGATGTGATGATGTGCATTGAATTTTGTAACTCTCTCAGCAAGATTAACTTGCTCAGGTAAATAAATTGTGGGGTTCAGTCCCTGAGCCCATTATGTGCCTCTGTAACTCTTCCCACTACCGCCCACAGGACGGGTATGGGGTGCATATTAGATGAACTAAACTATAAACAAGGGTTATCCCATGGAATTGTCTTACCGACGAAGTCGCTAAATACCAAGACATTACTTTAGTTCAAAATCCAAACAGAAACAATCCTCATGAACCATGGGGGGGGGGGATCTTTGATAAGCCGATGGCTTCCACTATCCGTCGGGGACACTAGGGACAGGTAAATTCAGGTACAAATCTCCCCCATTCGTTATTGTACCTTTATTTTTTAACATATAGCTAGCTCAACCTGTAATTTGTAATTACTTATATTGAAGGGGGTAGCAAGACACTGCTATGTACCTACATTTGTAATGAAAAACCATTATTAATACATTAAAACAATTCCGTAGCAGAGCGTAGTTTCGATCTACGGACCTCTGGGTTATGGGCCCAGCACGCTTCCACTGCGCCACTCTGCTGCTCATATTATTTGGATGATATATTTTATACACCTTTTATAATATTATAATTGGTAATATTTTCATCATAAATAAAAGTATCAGTGTTTCTGCGCAGTAACGCACCAGTACGTACTGATCTTGCGCATGGGATGCGCACATCATGGTTACTGTGCACAGCCAGCTGCGTATGACATACATCATAGCACAGCCAGCTGCGTATGACATACATCATAGCACAGCCAGCTGTGTATGACATACATCATAGCACAGCCAGCTGCGTATGACATACATCATAGCACAGCCAGCTGCGTATGACATACATCATAGCACAGCCAGCTGCGTATGACATACATCATAGCACAGCCAGCTGCGTATGACATACATCATAGCACAGCCAGCTGCGTATGACATACATCATAGCACAGCCAGCTGTGTATGACATACATCATAGCACAGCCAGCTGTGTATGACATACATCATAGCACAGCCAGCTGCGTATGACATACATCATAGCACAGCCAGCTGCGTATGACATACATCATAGCATGGGTATGTGATCACTGCTGCACACGATGGGTATGGGTTCACTACCACTCATGAACAGGACATGTATTGGAGGCACTAACGCTCACAGGATAAGTATACATGGGGTCTACAGGATAAGTATGGGATCCACTCAGCCCTGGAGGCTGATCTGTCGTCTTTGTTGAGGTCTATAGCAACTCTTCTTGCATATAAACATTCCAAGCATAAGAATTGTATTTAGTGTCTGGACCCAGATTCATCAGTCAGTTACGCAAGTACTTACGAACATATTATCTCAATCTTTGGCGACTTTACACATATTAAACTGTTGATGAGCTCCGAAAGACTGGGAGGCTGTTTATAATTATATATTATTTTCTAAATTGTTGTGTTATGCCGCCAAAACTCGGTATGTAGATGTTCAACCCGTCCTCCTAATAGAACGGCGCCTTTTGACGAATACTCTTCCCAAGACCAACAATTGTCGTACAAGAAAATGGTAGCGGCTCGTGAAACTGCAGCCCATCCTCTTGTGTTGGTAGTACTTATAGTAACGGTGAGGACCAAAGTTAATATATCGACGAACAACGCTATTAGAAAGTAGAAATTTGTACTATTGAATTAAGACAAACCGGAAAAGGTTTTATATTTATGTTGCAAAGACAACCTTAACTAACTGAACCATCCTAGCTAGGCCTAATACACGCTATAAGAGGCCTAATATTGTACATATGTGTGCTATACTAGACCTTGGAATATATATGTTTTTTTAGCTTTATTTTTTCAGACTATAAAGTGATTAGTGCTATATACTTCACTTCAGACTATAAAGAGTCTATAATTAAGACTATAATTAAGAATTCAGACTATACTATAAAGTGATTAGTAAGTACTATTATGTAATGACTTAGTACGTCAACGTTTGTACTATGGAGCATATACAACAACTACTGTGTAAACAGGAGGATGGGTCGCGACGTTGACACTGTGCCGTTCTCTGTTGTGTTAGGATAAGGTCACTTACGCGCGAGAGTTTGTTGACGTTGGCAGACTTGAGGAGGACGGGCTGGATCACGGGGCCAAGTGTGACATCGCTGTCAAGTGTGTTATGTCGGTCTTGTCTGAGGTCAACCCCTAGAGTTGGCCTAAATAATCGCCCACTCAGTGGGCGATTATTTTTCTGACACTCCACTCAGTGTCTGTGTTTATTTGTCACCATACTTTACGTAACAATAGAACCGTTACATTGGTGACCCAGTGAGTGAAAAAGAACACTTAGTCACAAACTAGATCTTCGCCATGGATTTATCTACCAGGTTTCCAGCATACAACGCAGATGAGCCAGAATTTTGGTTCATGCAGATGGAGGCTATTTTCGACCTTCACGAAATTTCGACTGAGAAAGCCCGATATGCCTGTACCCTGCCAACACTTCCCTCGGAGGCTATGCACTGTAACGACCGCTTACCCTGCCGTAATAACCGCGGCCTTTATTGTAATAACCCGATGTTCGACCAACTCCTCACTGACAAAAGGTTAGTAGACAAAACACCAGCCCAGCTTCTGCGGCATATTCAGTATGTGATGCATACTGCAACTGGTCCAGCCCCCAGCGAGATTGTGAGATCACTGTGGA